GCCGCCGCTGGCAACGAGGCCCCCTGGAGGGGACTCAGGCGTGGGTCCGCTCCGCGGGTGCGGGAGGGGATGGTCAGACACGCTCCGGCGCCGGTAACGGCTTCACTTCCAAGTTGGCCCAATAAGGGGAAACTGCCTGAGCCCCGCCGGTGGGTCTGAGTTGCGGGCGCTCCGGTCGCGAGTGGTGTTTACACTGTGCTTTTTCCTTTTTTTTAGCTTGTAATAATGATTTTTGTTAACGCAGTTGGCTGATGGATTCGTAATGTGTTACTTTTGTAGCAGTGGATTCCAAATTTTATACTTGGTGTTAGCGGCAGGTGTGGTGAGATGGGCCGGGGGGAGCTGTCTGTCCCGGTTTGTAACGGAAAGTGAGTCTGTATATGTGGGATTAAAGAAACGAATGAACAAAGTGGATACAAATATCCACCTACTTACTGATGCAGGATGACATAGAAAGTTTCTTAGTAAAGTGCTCTCAAATTCTCTAGGTTTATCTTGTATCTTTTTACGGTGTGCTCCTACACACGTGATAGCAGAGAAGAGAGAGAGAGAGAAAATGAAACAGTGCTCAGCTGACTCCAGTGCTGTCTGTAGGACAGCAGGCAATCCCTTCCTGTGTTTCCTCTGTGCTAGCGAATGTTATGGCTCCAGTCTTTGTGATCAAGCAGCTGTAGTAAAGACAGGACCTTGCTTCCCTGATTTTTTTTTTTTTTTGATGCTGTATAACCGAAATTCTGTTCCAGCACCCATCTTCTCTGCCCACGTTAACTGTGGTTTCTTTGAATCCTATACAGCACGCACAGCATCATTTTGTTGGTCTCTGCAGGCTGACTTGACTGATGCCCCTGCCAAGTGCAGAGTCTGTATCTTCTCACTAAGGTCTGAAGTGAATTTGTGTAGTGAGGAAATTGCAGGCATAGATTGTGATTCTTCACGTGTGAAGTTCCATTTCCCATAAAGCCTATTCCTCTGTTATTGCACAGTACGAAGTCTGTTCAGCACCAGGGAGGGGCAGAGCAGGTAATAGCTCTTGAGTAGGCACGCTGGAGACTTGATGTGTTCTTGAAACAGGGGAGATGAGTTAACAGATTTTTCTACAAGATGATGATGAGGATTGTCTTGCATGTTTGCAGTGTAGGTTAGCTTGCCTGACTCGGTGTCTTTAAATAGGGGATGATAATATGACGTATTCTTAAAATACAGTAAATGCATAATGGTTTTCATAGCTTCAGATATTCTGGGCAAAGTGCAGCATTTCCTCAGAAGGATAACAGCAGTGCCAGCTTGTTAAGACATGCAGCGTATTGGCGGGACCGGCTTGTAAGCATATTTGCATGTTTTGGAAACGGTTTAAGACAGTGTTTCCTGGGCAGGCTGCTTCTCTCAGCATCCTGCTGCTTAATGTGTCAATGACTCCAAGTGGAGCAGAGATCATGTCATGGACAAAAAGGATTCTGAAGGATGGAGCTGGGATTTGATACTTAATTTGCTTTAGGCAGCATTTTTATAGAGGGAAAAATCATAATTTTATTATGACCATAAAATTCTACAGCTGTAAAAATGTGAGATGTGTGTTTTGTTTTTTTTTTACTTTAGCATATACTATGTGCTCACATTGGCTGAATATAGGAGCTCAGAGTGGTTTGACATCCATCAGAGTTTATGCAACCTATTAAATACTCCGTGCTAAGTCAGTGACTCCCATGTATTGTCAGGTCTGTTTAGCTAGCTTACTTCAGCACTGAGTTTGTTTTTTTTTTTTTAAATTTAAAATTCAATATATCCAATACCAATAAAAAATTAATCAAGAAAGAAATTAGTTATAGTAATTAAATGTTAAATGTGCTGGATATGGCTGGAATGTAAGCAGCACTGTCCAGGCCAATTTTAAGTCTTCTTGAAGCAAGAGTGACTATCCAGATGTCTAGCATGTGTTTCCTTAAAACATATTTCTTAGATTTTATTTGCCTTATTATTGCTTTATAGTTATAGCAAGTCAGTTTGAGTAGTATTGCTTGTGTATTTTAATCACAACAATTTATTCTTAAATCAGAGGGAATATATGAAGGAGGAAGCGGAGGAGTGTGCTGAAGATGAGGCGACTGAATCGGAAGAAGACCTTGAATTTGATGAAAGAATTGGATGCCTTTCCAAAGGTTCCTGAAAGCTATGTGGAGACGTCGGCAAGTGGAGGCACAGGTAGGCCTTACTGAGATGCTGACATGATTCATGTTGGCTCTTGACTCAGTCTAGCATGCTCTGGGAATAGAAACTTCAATAGGAGGAAGACAGGCATCTGTGTTCATTTGAAACTAGCCAAAATTGGTTTCTTGATTTCTTTCGTGGACTGACAGAGCTTCCTTCAACTAAAGGCATAGTATCTTATCCAAATAGATACATTTGTCGCTAATCTCAAGGGACATTTTTGGGTAAAACTGGTGAGACTCAAAACCGTGTAAAGGTTCACTATAAAAACTTCTAACCAGTTACAACTGGAAGTGCACTGTGCCACGGCTGTAATAAAACTTTCTCATTTGTTGCCTCACTAAACCCTTTTCTCTGTGTCAGGTTTCTGGGTGAGACTGTGTTAGCATGAGCTGAAATGCAGGTTGGATTCAGCTCTGTGCTTTCATAAAATAGGAAAAACATTCTGCAGAGGTGTCTAAGAGCTGGGGAAGTTAAGCATCAGGATGAAGAGCAGCTTTCTAAAGAATTTTGTCTTGAAGGTGTAGTTGATTGTAAGAGTAAGGAAAGCACTTTGAAAAACTAAACACTCCAGGTCATGTGCTTGTACTGTCCTTAGTAGTCACTTGAGCTTCTCTTAAAAAACTGTAGCTGTAAGAAGTACCTTTTCTATATGTATCTGAACAGAAAATTGCGCCTGTAAGTTGGGTTGGGTTAGAGGTAGCCTGATCTGGGAAGTAGTGACTTTGTCTATTGGAATTCTTTGCGGTTAGACAGGAAACTGCTTGCAGTTAGTTTGAAACAGAGGACAAAAGTCTCTCTCATGTGCCATTATGTCTGAAACTCAGTTGAATAAAAAGTACAAGAAGCAATTGCAATCTACAGATAAGCCTCTGAAGTCATTACGCCACTTGTGTAGAAATAAATATCACAAAGATCTGTATTACTTTGCTATGTTTCCTGAATTGCACTGTTAATAATTAAAGGATTATTGTATATAAAATAATCTTTGAGAGCTGATTAAGTAACTTTTTGGTAATGTTCGTCCCAGTTCCTGAGAAAGCAAGTGAGGTTTTTTTATGTTGTAATTTTTAGAAAAAAAAAAAATGCTTAAAATTCCTTTTTTTTTTGTAGCGTAGCACCATCCTTCATGAGGACTTCACTGTGGTAAAGGGTGTCTTAAAGATGTCTCAACACCAGAAGTTATCTTAGCATTCTTTGGTTTATCCCAGTAACCTTATAAATGACAATATAGAGTTGTCTTATTCTATGCCACTCTAAAATTTTAATATAGTATTCCTGTTTCATTCAGGATTAAAGTATCAGGCTTACTTTCTGGTATGGTGAGGATGCAAAGCGTATCAAGACTCTATTTTCAGACTTTCAGTGCCTTAAAACCTATTAGAAAAGAAGTACCCGTCTCTCAAATGGGCTGAGACTACAGCTCTGGGGCTGGGAGAGCATTCAGAAAAGAGGATCCGTCTTTGGAAATTCTACAACACTTCATTTTCTTGTTCAGATCCATGAATACCTTTACTTAGATTTACCCAGAAAGCAACTATGGCTCTTAATTGTTTCCTTGTGTTTGGATAGAAAGTATGGCTCCAGCTTTCCTGTTGCATAGCTGGGGTGAGTCTGGCCTACTGGGCTCCGAAAGGAAATTGATAGCCAGAATAATTAACTGATCAGTGCATCTGCTTTCACACTACGTGGTGACACGAAGGTCTTCATATACATGGTTGTTACATAGCTTCAGCTGAAAGCTAGAACTTGAAATGTTGCTGCTCAGTGCAAGAGCCCATGCTGCGGACCGTGTTTCTTTTCTGATCCTGTAGGACAGTGCCTTCGTGTCCCTGCTGCCACCCCAGGGCTGTAGAACACTGTGTTGTGAATTGAAGCCCGTCAACAACGGGCTTGTTTTTTCTCAAGTTGCACTTCACAGACTCCATAGAAATACTCCACAGAATGCAGACGGAAAACATACTGTCAAAAGCTGTACAAATCACTACTGCGGTCCATAACTGAAGTTTTTTTCAAGTTAACAAAAGCTATGATTTAATAAAAGGGGCATAGCAGGTGCTTCTGGTACTATGTTTCTGACTGTGCGCAGCAGGGTGATCTTCCCTTTGCATTGTACAACTTCGAAAGTGTGATGAATAGGCTGCTTTGGGGATAGGCAAGGCACATATACCGTTAAAATACACCAATTTGTTTTCTTCCTAAAAGTAATTTCAAACCAGTTCTTCACTTATTTAGCTGTTGGTAGAAGGAATAGCTACATGGTGCTTATTGCCAGAGGGACAATTGTTTGAAATACTGGGATGGGAGTCCTGACTGTGCAGCTATACACAAGTAATATAATCAGGACACCTTTTTCTAAGCGGACAGTGCATATAATGCATATTTATAGAATCATAGAATGGTTTAGGCTGGAAAGGACCTTAAAGATCATCTAGTTCCACCCACCCTGCCATGGGCAAGGACACCTTCCACTGGACCAGGTTACTCAAAGCCCCATCCAGCTTGGCCTTGAACACTTCCAGGGTTGTGGCATATTATTTCTCATCTGCTAGGTTCTTGGCTCTGAAACTAGATATAAAAAAAAAAAACTTGTTATAAAAACTTAGGTTATAGACAAGTGGAGGCTTAGAAGGACTTCAAGGTGCACCTTCTTCTTCTTTCATGCTTGAATTTAGGATTGTGTTTGCCTAGACTATCCCTGACAGTGATTTATGGGCATTTGGTTTTATATGCGGAGGAGGATCTAGCCTGTTCTTAAATCTTCTGTATAGGGATTTCACAACCTCCCCATCATTCTAGTATTTGACTGTACTTAGTGTAAGAAGTTCTTTCTTGATGTAAAGGTAGAACTTGTTCTTTTTCCCTCCTGTGTAAAAGCAAATCCTGTAGATATGAAAACATTTTTCTAAGAGCAGCTTATGGATTTGTAAATCAAAGATACCAGTATTGGACTGGTAGTGGTCAGATTCTGGAATGTTAGAATTTTGTTCTGCTTGTTTCTGAATAATATTTCTCATGATCTAAACGTCTTTTTTTGTCTTTTTTTTTGTCTTTTTGACCGCTCAGTTTCTCTGATAGCATTTATAACGATAGCTTTCCTGACTATAATGGAGTTCACGGTGTATTGGGACACATGGATGAAATATGAATATGAAGTAGACAAGGATTTTACTAGGTAATTTTTATCCATTGGAATTCCTTTTAAAATTTAAATTATCTGTATTTCAGGAAAGAATAGATTTAAAATGTTCGTGTGACTGGCAAGCAATTTATGATTGAAATTAATGAAATACTAAAGGGACTTGATTTTTCTTCTGTTGATTGGTTGTTTTTTTTTTTTTCTTTTCTGGAAACTACAAAAATGAGAAAATGAGATTTCTGCTATGAAGAAGTCAAAATAGTGTAGGTTTGTTGGTGGAGTCCCCTGAGGAATTATTTACTAACAATTCAGAGGACATTGTAATATGTACATCAGCTTGTAATTACATTATAAGATGTAAATCAGTGGGTTTACATTACACCAGATTTACATGACGCTTACTCTAGTTTATACAGTTGGTATATTGCCATTATGCTTTGTGCTGCCGGAAGAGAACCTTAAGCACTCATAACTTTGACTACATACCTAGAGATTGCTACTGATCTTGTCTGCGATTATGGCCTCCAAGATTGGCTTGAAGCTACATTTGCTGTTGGTTTCACGTGCTTGTCTGGACTGCATTCGCCTTTCTTCTTGAGGTGATCAGGCACCCATGAGTCCATGTGAAGTTAATGGAGATTTTGTGCACTGAACACCTTTAAATATCACACGTCTGGAACTGCAACAACTTTAAAAGCTGTTTGACTAGTTGCTGTGGTAACAAGCTAAAGATACACATATTAATTGGATGTCTTTTATGTCAGAAATACCAAAGGTTTCTGTAATGAAAAAATAAAAAAATATGAGAAATTTAAGGGAGATGCATCAAAAACTCAAGTTAGAGTAAATCCATTCAGACAGA